AAATATGTTCACACCCAAACAGATACACGCACCCACACAAATCAGCAAAAACCTGTAGTAAGCAGTGCTGAAAAAGTCTCTGGAGTTGTTCCCCGACACAAGAACGATGCAGAATGTCAACAAAAACACCCTGAATGCATATTCATACGACTTCATCGCCGGGTACAGTTTCAGATAACTTGCACAAAGACCTAATCAAGAAACCAAATGGGTCAAACAGAAAAATGACAGAATGGAGATTGAGAGAATTGGTAAATGGAGTAACCTGCAAGGAAGATACTGACAATAATGATCTCTTCCTCGAAACGTCCAGCTAAGACAGAGAGTCTAGCTATGCCGAGAGCAAGCCCACCAGCAGAGAGTGTCCCTATGGCTCTATTGAATCCTTTCACCAATGTTGCTCCTACACACAAAAAAACAGAGTTACACATCATCAGATCAGAGATCAAACAACCAACATATGTGGATGGAACTGTAATAATTCAAAACACTTTAATGGACAGATTTTTATTTGCTTCAGACAACAATCTCAAGTGCTGATTTACTGACAAAGGAACATACTTTCAGATTCAATCGTACATTAACAACAAACCCATAAGCTAATCTAATCGGTTCAGTACCTATGCTATACTCAAACACGACGACGACAGTGAGAATCGCCCACACAGCATACTTGCTGGCATCATGAAGTGGCTCCTTGAGATATATAACGAAAGAGCAGAGCGCGAGAGCCACTCCCATCTTAACAGCAAAGTAAACTTTCCGGCGATCGGAACGACCCATCTCGTACAAATTAGCCGCCACGTCGTAGAGAGCTTTCCAAGTGGAGACGATCCCGTCGGAGAAGAACCGGAAACACCGGAATTTGGAACGACGGTCGTCGGAGATGATGCCGGAGTCATTGAAACCGAAGTCTGAACGACTCTTTCGAAAGAGAAGACTTTCTCTGGTTTGGTCTCCGAACATGTCTGATTTTGCAGCCATTGTTTTCTTTGATTTCTCTTACAAGAACATGACACAAGATTCATAAATAAAACTGAGAGAGAGTGATTATTGACCTTATAAAAATAATTTAAAAAGTTGTTTTTATAGAAGGGAAAATTCAAATAATAATTGAATCGTCCCGTTGATTTTGATCTGATACCACCTTCCCATTAAAGATATATGAATGTGACTGGTGAAGTATCATGGCTCCTGCAGACGCTTACATTTTTATACTATTTAAAGATTAAACAATTAAAATGGATCTGTAGTTTTTATTTTAAAATTGCATTTGCATGCATCATGTTTTTCATCATCCAATCATTTAGAAACACACAGTTTTGTTTTTGTAAAAAGAAAACACTGTTAGATGACTCATATTTTAATTTCACAATAGTAAAAGTATAAAATAAAACTAGAAATGAAAACAAAAATTACAAACTGTTTCGTTTTTATCACTTTCGGAGGTTCTTATTCTGTAAGTCATTGGAGGTTTTCTATATCATGTCAAACTTGTTTGTAGTAATATGCTAAAATGCTTATGAGCACCAAGTTTGATGCTACGCAGTGAGTTATTGCACGTTTGACAATACTTTGGCTTTGTTTAAGACGTCAAGCAAAACTTTAAAAGTCGTACAAGAAAAATCAATGTATGTTGTTTCTCTGTCATTAATCAAACCGTACAAATTTATGCAAGGGCTTATATTTTTGTATAAGTTACCCGTGAGATTTGCGGTCCAATCCACCACAAATAACTTTTGTTTTGGGACAGGCCGGCCCAGTTTGACAGTTAATTATTTTCCACCTGAATTCATTGGTAAATGAGATTTAGAAGAAGAGATGATTGTTAGTTTTTTCCCCCTCAGACTATCATTAATCTCAATCTTTAAATGAGATGTTTAGCTTAAGAGATGACTCTTAGTTTTTTTAGATTTTAATTAAAAAAATCTAAAAACTGCATCTTATCTATAAGAGATATAACTGTTTTTAGTTGAAAAATGAAAAATAAAAAAATGGGGGCTGAGGAACGAGAGTTAATTATGATCAACATCACATTCACACGGTAGAAGTGGATAGCTTAAGAGGGCGTGGATCAGATATCCAGATTTTTTAAAGTATTTTTGATTTGCTTCGAATGTTACGGATATCTAATTTTGGTATTTGATTTGCTTCAGAAAAAAACGAATATCCAGAAAAATGGATATCTGGAAAATAAATAGATATTTGCAGATATTTACGGATATCTAATCCATTTTGATTAATACAAATAATCTTAAAATTTTGATATAAATTTGCTTTACAAAAATATTTTTTTTGCATGATATATACAATAAAAATTAAAAGAACTAATGAATTTACATATTTTGTAATTTTTGAAGTATAAATTGCAATTAAAATAACACAAAAGTTAAGAACAAAATATTATTGTCATATTTTTTTTTCTTTTTTTATGTAGTACATTTATATAAGTAATAATGTGAATAGAATTGTTCAAAATCATGTGTTAGAATAATAATTATCTAATTTTATACATTTAAAATTTTAAATATAATCAATATATACATATATTTATATATTTCCGGATCATATCGGATATCCGTTTCCCAAAATTTAATATTTGTGATTTACTTCGATTTTAATGGATATTTACTTCGTTTTGATTTTTAGTATCAGATCAAATCGAAACGAATAACAAATTGAATCAAATTTAATGGATAAAATGGCAGCTTTACCTGAGACGATTGGGATTCTGGGTGGGCCATGACAGATGCATGAGATATTAAAAGCATGCATGGTTGGTCATGGGCCATCAATTTGCACATCCCTTCGTAATACTACTTTTATCAGTTTTTATTTTATTTTATTTTGATGAAATACATTTATCAGATTTTTACTAATTCAAGGGAACATAAAGTATGATAATTTATGCTGTAATTTCTTCTCATTTTGTATGTTTGTCTATCAAACAAGAATATCATATATCTATTTCAGTCTGAAAAACTAATTTATGTAATCAAACATATGCAACTTACTGGGATGTAGATCTATATAAGAGAAGAATGCCACCAAATATCTATTTTATTAAAGCAGAAACATCAAAACTTATTCTAAGTAAAATTTTTAAGTTGGACCTCACATTATTAATGTAATATTATTTGTCTAATTAGTCTAATTATATGATATGATATATCGTGAGAATCTATTATTTAGAAAATTACTGATATTTCAGTATCTTATAATTAATAAGAAGATAATTATAATTCATGTTTAAGAAGTTAGTCATATATCTTCATGTAATCAATAAATAACATTAATTTAGATATATATCTTATTATTCTTTAGAAAAAAACCCAATATATGTTCTTTTTAAACAGAAAATCTTAGTTACAATTAAAACTTTTGATTTGTTATTAATTATAAAGAACAATTTCAACTTTTAACAAATAATGCTTATGTTTACTTAAAAAAATATATAAATAAGAATCAAAATAAATTTACTTGGATAGAAAATCATGTCATATTAAATATCAATAGTGAGATATGTCAATTAAAATATTGTTGTATTCTATGCTTTAGATTTTTTCTTATATATATATATATTATATTTAAATATTTGTGGTAGAACATGTCATTCAAAAAGTTGTTGCAATTAACTGACAAGATATCTTCTCTCTTAATTTCATCATTTAGTATTTAATGTTTATAGTGAAATCTGTTAACCAAATTTTTTTAATTTAGATTAAATAACATTTAATTTAAATATATTTAATTTATTACTTTTATCAAATCTGTCAACTATTAAATAACATTTAATTTAGATATATCTTTTTATTATTTAGAAAAATCCCTGGTATATGTTACAATTAAAACTTTGGATTTGTTATTAATTATAAAGAATTTCAATTTTTAACAAATAATTCTTGTGTTTACTTCAAACAAAATTAAAAATAAGAATCAAAATAAATTTACTTGGATACAAAAAAATATTTACTTATATTATTAATTAATATATTTGGTTATATTATTACAAATTATGATTGATTTTTTTACAGTTAAAAATTTTGTGGGTTATTCTATGAGACGTACAAAATAATTATCAAATAAAAAATAAATTGAAAAAAATATTTGATCAACATAAACATTAATCAACATGAAACAAATTAAAAAGATTAATTTTAGCTAATTTTAAATCTTTTTAAAAAAGCATAACCAGTTATATATATATATATATATATATATGTAAGTAAAATTTCAATGATTTGAAATATATTTGTGATAAAAATATTAAATTTTTACCCACTAATTTAAACAAGGCGGGTTCAGGTATAATGTTTCCCTTTTGCGTGTCAAATTTTTAATAAAAAATAATTCAATTCGCTGCGGAGCGGATCGACCCGCAAACTTAGCAATAATTTATATTATGGTACATATAAAATGCTATTAATTATATGATGACATGTATATGATATAATACTGATATGAAAACAAATAGCAATATACTTTTGAAAAAATACATTCATGCGGGCGTACGGAACAAAATCTAATTTTTAAGAATTAAAAATCCTTAGATAGAAGCCCTTACCTGAAAATCGAAACAAATATAGATTATTTTTGGGTCAAACTTTCAAATATAGTAGATTTTATACCATTTTGTATAGGTAATGTATCCATACGAAGGCTTAGTTTTCATTTTCAACATAAAACTTTTAAGTATTTTTTTTAAAATGATATATTCTTTTAAAAATTAATTGCACAATTAGAATGAAATTAAATAAATTATAATCTCACATAGAAGATCATATATTTTATAGTATCATATATTGTAGACAATGTGAAATTATATAGAAAGTATATATATTTACTGCCAAAGTTGTTACTTATTGTTTGAATGGGTCTAGTAATAAAAAAAGAAAGATAATTGCTCCTTTTGACCAGAAGATAAATACCTTGAGAGAAAATCGGAGAGTTGAATCAAAGAAATAACAGAATATAAACAGAGGTTGAAAGCTTTATCCTGAGAGAAACGCTCACACAAAGGTAGGTGAAAAGCTTTTAATTTTTCTCCTGCACAAAATCTCATTAATTTAATAAAACAAAACCGAAGTCTCTCTTAGATTTACTTAATGTCACTCTTGTTTATGTTTCTCTGTCTCTAAATAACTGATTTTTCTTTCTGCAAAACAGAGTGAAAATCAAGAACCTAGGGTTTAGGGTTTACTTTGTCACTAATCTTTCTAGGTTCTGTTGTGTAATTGAAGAACAGGAACAGCAGTAAAGGTCGGAGATTTATGTCGGCTGTGTCTGAATCGGCTTTGATTTTGTCTCTGTTTCGCATTTCCTCTCCCGCTCGATCGTCTTCCACCTCGTCTCCTTTGTTCTTTGGTCTGACCTCTGTTCTCACCGCTCTTTGCTTCTGCACCAAGCAGAGGCTTGTTCTGGAGGTTCCATCCCTTTCCATGGGCGTTAGACCTAAAAGGTATGGCCTTTCTTTTTCTCTCTCTCCATCTTCTGTGTGTGTGTCTTCTACAACAAGAACCCTAACTAGTTAATGGGTTTTTACAGGACTCACAAGAGGCAAAAATTACCCTTTTTCATAGTTCGCTGAAACAAAACCCCTTGTCTGATTCAGCAGTTTTGGTAAGAGATTTTGAAGTGTTTGAATCAGATATGAAGAAAACAATGAGAGGCAGGAAAGTTCGTGTTATTGTTAGTGACCCTTATGCTACTGATGATTCCTCTAGCGACGAATGGTTTGAGTGTAAGCCTAAAAAGGTGAAGCGTATTGTCCATGAGATCAACCTCCCTGATGTTGACAAAAGCTCAAAGCCTAAAGCAGCTTCTATGCAGCTCAACAAGCCTGTGGGAGTTAGGCTGAGGCAATCAGGCAAATGGGCTGCTGAGATTAGAAACCCAATCACTAAAACTAAGGTTTGGTTGGGTACTTATGAGACTCTTGAAGAAGCTGGGAAGGCTTATGCTGACAAGAAGGTTGAGTTTGATGCATTGTCCTCATCGGGAACTGCTGTTTCCTCAATGAACAGCCAATGCTTGCGTTCTGCTGCTTTGAATGAAAAGGTGTCTCTGAGGAAAGATGTTACTGCTTCTGGTGATTTCGACCTTTCCCAACTAGAAATCCCTGATCTGAGCTTCTTAGCTGCAGAAGAGAAGCCTGGCGCAAATGCTGGTGGGAAGATAGACTTTGATTGGTTTTTTAAGGAGGAGGACTATAGTCATCTGTTTGATGATTTCTCTGTGCTTGATAATGTCAATAACATCAGCATAGCAAGCGAGCTGCCTGATTGTGACTTCACAGATGTGGAACTCGAGCATGGTGATATGAAGTTTGCCTTTGCTGATCAACTAGCGCCTCCTGCTCTCAACATCGCTTGCCCCTGAAGCTTTTTCCAGCTTATCTGATTTACTGTATTCCAATAATAAGTCGTTTCTAAGACAAACAAATGTTTAGATCCTATTTCACAAGAACATAGATAAAAAGAAAGAAAGTGTTGTCTCCTTTGGATGCTCATATTCTTATAAGAGTCTTCTAAATAGCTGTCTTTGCATGAAATTTTGATGTTGGTTTCACCTTATTATATCTCTATGTTCTATCTATTCCTTTATGTCTGTTGTTCTTTGTTGGTCTCGTCTTTTGTCTCTTACGATCCTGCTACCTTTCCTCTTAATTTTTGGTCAGGAAATGAAATCTAACCAATGAGATTTCAAAATTGAAAAAGACAGGACAGGTAATTTTTTTTTTTTTTGGTCAAGACATGGCATGTAACTAACATTTAGATTCTACAACGTAGGAATAGTACTCACGCCCTCTTGCACCTTTCTTCTTACGGACAAGACACATGCTCAAGCACGTGTGACCCTTATCAGTCGATCTATGTTACTCTTCCACAGAACCTAGTGTTAAATTTCAAACTCCAAGAAGATGGGAACGACATAGAGTGGAATCACAAGACAGGCTATAGATTATTGGTGTTTGAACAAAGTTCAACAAGATCGACAGAAGCTAGACTTTCTGATGACAATAGCGGTTTCAGAGTAGACCCTTGTCTTGGAAACACTTGATGCAGTCATCAAACATCTCAGAAAATGACTTGAAGGACCCAAAGCCAAGTTCACGTATCTTTGTTGTCTCCAAGCTATGAGGCATATCTTTCCCTTTGTCACTACCGCACCTGAAACAATTGTTTTATGTGCAAAACATAAAAAGAAAAAAAAAACGTCTTACAAAAGCCAAATATATTGGAAGTGAAGCAGAGGATGTAAACACATACTTGGTCTCAAATGGGTATTGCGGGTATTTGGGTCTTAGCATGTCAATAATCTCTGACCAGTGAGCCACTGAACTTGAACATATGATTCTTCCTGAGGCTTTAGGCTCTTCCATTGCTAAGATTTGTGCAGTAACTACATCTTCTATGTGAACAAACCCTCCTCTCAAATTTGTGTATTCTCCATGAACACCTAACCATGCAAGAAACTGAAGTTGAGGACCTGTGGTGCATCTCTGAAACTGAAATGTGAATCCTCAAAGTGAAAATATCCTCTCAATCAAACCTTTGATTATGGAGAGAAGAATTGAAGGGGTGCTTGTAGGTTTTGGACTAAGTATTGGACCAATACAAAAGGAAGGGACTACAACCACTAGGTTTAGATTCTTTTCAGCTGCAATCCTCCAAGCTTCTTTCTCCCCTAAAGTCTTTGCATAACCATACCACAGCTACACACATTTTTCAAAACACTTCATTAATTCAAAACCATGTTGGCTAAAATTTGTAACAACGGGTGAGGAATGTGTCTCACTTTGAAGTTTCTGCAGTAGTCAGGATCGCTATAATGTGATTCGTTAAGTGGAGAGGCTTCTGTGGCATCATAGCGGTACCTGACTGCAGTAGAAGAAGATGTGAGAACAATTCTTTTCACAGTGTTTCTTGATTTTTCACAAGAGTTCATCAAATTCCTTGTTCCACTTGTGTCACGATCCACCAACTTTTCCTGCATCAGTGAGTTCATGTTGGAGATTAGCTTAGGGAGCAAATATTTCAACTATAGGCCTTGAGACAATAACTTAATGGTCAAAATACATATCAATTTGGTGGTTAAAGGATATACAAACTTATCAACCACTAATATTTTGAGGACTACAGACGAATGTATTATTTGGATATGAAAGTAAAAATGAGTTTATTTTTTGAAATGTGTATGACCAGATCATTGTCATCCAGACAAACAGATACACGAGAGGCAATGTGGAAGACTCCATCAACACCTTTGACAGCCTCGTCAAAGCTTCCCTCCACTGTTAGATCAGCTTCGAATATCTTCAACCTTTCTTTTGCCCCTTTCAACTCCCACAGAAACTTAACCTTCTCTTCATCTTCCCCCGAACAGAAAAAAAAAATAAATAAATATTTAATTAAATGAAGAACACAAAGGAGACGAGCTTTACCAACAGTTGGAAACAAAAACTGTCGGAGAGGAATCTAAAAAGTACCTGAGGAGTCTCTAACAGTTGTTCTTACGAAGTGGACCAAGTCGAGAAGTGCCTTTACAACGTGGGATGCTATAAAGCTTGTCCCTCCAGTTACCAAGTACTCTGCCATTTTGATATTTACTCAACTCCGTTCTTCTGATTACGGGATTCACTATCAGAGTTAGGGTTGGGACTTCGGGTATTCAGATCGGTTATAGGACCCGTTTGATTCCGGGTAAATCGGATATTTAGAAACTATATCCAATGGATACTTGGTCGACTTACGGGTTCTGACCGATTCCGGGTCAATTCAGATATAAAAATTAACTTGAAATTATATATTTTTATTTTTATATTTCTATTTTTAATTTTATTAGTTCTTTTTTTTTGAAAAAGAACAGAAATATAGTATATATATTTGTAGTTTGAAAGTAGTTACAATGAAACTGAAGTGATCTAGTGGTAATTAAAAGTGTCTATACTTTGCCCTTAACAATTTAGGTTTGAGGTTAGGAGTTACAAATCTATATCTTTTTTTAAAAAATAACCTTCAGTTTAAACGGGTAGATCGGATGCGGATAAGAACTGGAATCGATCTGATACCCACGAAGTATTCACAAATGCTACCCCTCGGTTAAATATGCTCGATCCGAACCGATCCATTTCGGATTGGATCCGATTTGGATATTCGGTTCCGGTTAAAGTGATTTAGTGGTAGAAATACCTATACTTTCCTCTTAACAACTTAAATTTGAGGTTTAAGAGATACAAATCTATGTTTTTAAAAAAAAATAACTTTCAGTTTAAACGGGTACCTAATCAGATCCGGATAAGAATTGGAACCGATCCAATATTTACGGGTATTCATAAACGTTACCCATCGATTAAATATGTTCGATCCAAACCCGATCTGAACTGGTCTATTTTAGGTCGGATTCGATTAGGGTATTCGATTCTGGCTAAATGTCCCAGCCCTAATCAAAGTTTTGTTTCTGGTTGACCTTTTTTGGATCACATTTCCGACAACAAGTCAAGTCGTCAGCCATATTTAATTATTCTTACATCAATTTTTTTTTTAACTTACAAGTTGGAGATAAGATATCTATTCTCACTTCTCAGCCAACCAAATAACTTTATTTAGGAGAAGATTAGATACCTAATAGACCCAATTATCTGAGAAAGTTTGAATCTGAATTGTAGACGGGTTAAATCCAAGAACTCAAGTGAACTTAAGAGACGATAAACATATAAGGTTAGTGCATTGTTAAGCCCATACATTCCAACATTACATAAAGAAGTTGTCGCTGGGCCATGATTTGGGTGATCGCGACTTTGCTGACAAAAATAAATATTTAAATGAAATGCAATCAGTCTGATTTTGGATTTTACCAAAGTCAATACGAGGGGGTCTCAGATTTTGGATAGAGATTACAAAGATACGTGTTATCTCCTGCAGCGGAAATATATAGAATGGACAACAATGAACAGATGGATCGTATTTCATGATCTAGTAAGTGATAAAAGACATTAGATCACAATAAATGATAGTCGAACACAAAATCATATAAGAATAAGAACAACGATTAAAAAAAAATTAGCGAATCAGTTCATCCTATAAAAAAAAAATTAGGAAACATAGTGTTATTATTTTTTATTATTATGTTCAGGTTGATTCTGATACTCTGTTGAACCTCTTTTGATATTAATAAAAATAAGTTATTATAAAAAAATGAAATGTAATCTAAATTCCATGTCATCGTTTTAAATCTTTAAACATTTACTAGTGGTAATTGAACATATCACTCACATATATGAAACAAAAGTAATTGGTACACGGTCTTCTCATTTACTTAGAGTCTAAACCATACACTTTTATCTTTGCATAGAAACATATAATATATACACACCATAGATATGAAGAAATAGTCTCAAACAACACCAAAATACATTTTTGTTTCAAAATAAAAGGACAAAATTCATTCACTGAACTAATATATTTAGATATAATAACCAATATCAAATATAAATAAAATTATATAAAAATTCATTTAAAATATATTTATTTGTGAAATATTCAGAAAAACATTCCTAAATATGTAATCTTCTTTAGATGTTCATGTGCTTGGCTAAAGCCTCCTAAAAATCGTTTTCGTTTTTTGAAGAAACCTAAAAGTGGTTTTCGCATGTGAGATTTGAATGTTTGCTTTACCTTCTTCAATCTCTATGTTTTGTATGTTGCTTTATGTATGCTATTCTTTGTTGGTATGGCCTTGTGTCTTTTAGGATCTTACCTTTCTCTTAATTCTGATCAGGAAATATAATCTAACCACTAGATTTCAATATTCTACTACGTAAGAACACAACTAGTCAGCTTTGGGGTTAATTTTTAAATACTTAGGTAGATATACACAATAACCAGCTGGATAGGCAGATGCCCTGAATGAATAGGGGATCAGCTGACCCCATTTTATAAAAATATTTGCTTTCCCTCTGATAAAAAATTCATTGACCCTATTAAAAATAGAAAATTGACTCCACAAAAAAAATTACAAAACATTAAAAAAATTAATGTTTAGTTTTATTATATGACTAATAAATTTAAATTTTCTATTTGTTGAAATTTGGATTTATATTAGTCTCAAAGTTAGTTTATATACCTACAAAACATTTAAGAAAAAATTAAGAAATTGATAAGTACGTTTTATCTTTTAAACTTGTTACTCACTAGTTTTAACCTCAACTTTTATTAAACCCAAATTGTATAGTAATTTCTGTTAGAGAACTAGTATCTCCACAAAAAAATATGTTATATCTCATGTTAGTTTCTTTATTTTTGTTTTATATTTTGGTCGTTCATTTATATTTTATTAAACTATAGATGTCATCTATTCAAATTGTTAAAAATATTTATGGTTTTTTTAATGAACAACTATATATGGTTTATGTTTTGTATATTATTATATAAAGCTTGGTTCTTCAAAGTTACTAATTAATATGATCACGACACATGCCAATTATGTGTTTAACATTGTGACATGTACGAATCTATCTCGTAATTAAAAATATATATACTAAGATAATAAAAAAAAACAAATTTTGTTTAAAAAGTAATTATAATTATTATCTAATAGTAATTTTTCATTTTTTAAACCCTAAACAAAAGATAATTGTAAAAGATTATTTGATAGTAGTTTTCCTTTTAATATTGTGACATGTGTTAAAATATATGATGATTAAATATATATATATATATATATATATATATATATATATAATAAGACAATAAAAACGAATTTTGAAAAAGTAAATTTAAAATTTATTTATTAGTAAAAATTATTATTTAATAGTATTTTTTAGATTTTTTTTCAAAGAATCCTAAACAAAAATAAAATTTGAAAATAAATGTAAATGATTTTGAAAAATAATTCGTAAAGTATTATACTGTGATTGATTCTTCAAAGTTGCTAATTAACATAATTGTGACGTATGAAAGTTATATATTTGTAATTGTGATATGTGTTAAACTATATCATAATTAACAATAAATACACTAAGATACTAAAACTGATATTTGTTAAAAATTAGTTATAAATATTATTTAATAGTTATAAATATTATGAATGGCTCTACTCTTGCAGGTGGACTAGGCTGGATTTGCACTGGTTCAACAGGCATACAACGCTTCCAAGGTTCGGAGTTCAGACGTTATATAGTCTCTACCCTAGCAGCAGAAGCATTGGCGGTAAAGACTGGCCTCGATGAGGCAGTCTCTTCAGGAATCAAAGACGTTATCTGTGTTTCAGATTCAAAAAATCTTATCGAAATGATCACATGAAACAAATCTGTGGAAGCTCTCATGTGGATTCTCCATGACATCAGCGTATTGAGTAAATCCTTCAACTCTATCTCTTTTAATTATTTTATCCCTCGAGTACTCTGTAATAAAGCGGCAGATAAGCTCGCTAAGAACTCTCTCTTTCAAAACTCTACCAATCTCTCAGAGATTAAGAACTTTGTTCCTGCTTAAGTTATGTTAAATGGAAGAAAGGCATGACCAAACAAAATTATTTAATAATAATTTTCCATTTCTAAAATCTTAAACAAAATATAATTGCAAATAATTATTTGATAGACATTTTGCCATGTTTTAGAAAATCTAATGATTAAAATATATATACAAAGAATATAGTAAAACAAATTTTTGAAAAAAATAATTTAGAAAATAATTTATTTTGAAAAAATAAAAAATTCAATTTTAAAATTATTTGATAGGGATTTTTTAGAAAAATTCCTTTTTAAAATTCTAAAGACAAAGATATTTGTAAAATAATTTATTTAATACTAGATTTCCTTTTCTAAAATCCTAAAAAAGATTATTGGAAAAGATTATTTGATAGTAATTTTTCTTTTGAAATTTTGTTAGGTGATAAAACATCTCATGATTATTAAAATATATAATAAGATGATAAGAGAAATTTTTTAAACAAAAAATAATTATTTTGTTGTATTTTTCTCTACATTTTTCTTTTTAAAAATTTTAAAGAAAAAATATTATTCAAATAATTTATTTAATACCAATTATCGTCTTCTAAATTTCTAATGAAAATATAACTGTCAGAAAATAAAATATTTAATAGTAATTATCATTTTCTAACATCAAAAACGTAAAAAATTGTAAAGGAGTGTTTAAGTAGTCTTCCTTTCTTCAAATCCTAATCAAAATATTTTTCGAATAATTAATTTTAATATTTTTATGAATAATTCTTTTTCCAATTAAAATAGTTGATATTCTTTTATAAGTTATAAACCAAAAAGAGCTACAATTATTCACATATATATGTGTGATTAAGTTCTCTCATGTTATGTCACTTCTCATATTTTGGTAGCAAATATAATAAAAGATACAAAAATAATATTAAATAAGTTTTTTGCATATTCATTCACATCTTCGCGTGATCTACTCTTTTTTGAATATCACATGTAGAGAAAATAACATGTGACATCCTGATTCACATTAAAGTGATGTTGATTTTTTAAAAATATATTATTATCATGCTGTCGTGCATTAGTTAGTGCCACAATTATACTTAAGTGTTTGTATATGTTGTTTTATGTAAGTTTAATGGGTAACTAATATAGTGCCACAAGTATATTTATTTTATATAAACATTTTGTTTTTACTTCTAAATTGGTATATAATATAATGTATGTATATCGAAAATGATGATTAATTATTATATAGTATAGATTAATTATAATTAGAAAATGATGATTTTGTTATTTTTAAAAATAAACTATATAATTTTTAAAGTTAACATCGAAAATATATAAATAATTAATTTATACTATTACAACATTAAATTATATAAGTTTAATTTAAACATATATTTTATTATACTATCTATAAATCCAATGGATCATCTAATTTTTATTAGCCCAATAAAAATTTCTATTAAGCCCAATAAATGTTATTAGTGAATCTAATGAATGTTATTAATTTTGTAATAATGTAATGTCACAAATTCTATTAGATAATCCACATTTTAAGATATCACACATGAAGTGAAGTCATGACTTCTCTTTTAATATATAAGATGTGATTATTATGCTTATGTGTGTTTGTTCTTATCATCATATAAAATTGGTTATGCTATTGTAGATCATGATACTACATAATTAAAATAAAAGAAAATAACTTTCAAATGGAATATTGTAGGTCATGCTACAAAGAATTGAAATCAAAGAGAAAGACTTTGCAATGGACAATATTACTAATAATTTGACTTACACAACATGATTACTGTAGTAGAAATCCTAAACAAAAGTTATATGAAAAAAACAGATTTTTATTCCTAGCATAAGTTTCATACCAAAATATGCAAGATGACCTTTCAAACTGAAATGATGTTAATTTCTTATATGAGTTTGCTATGCAATGATTATTAACAAAAGTTAAGTTTAAACCTTAAAAGGTTGGTCTATATTTTCAAGTCCAGTCTAACAATTATACATCACACTATCAAGAGTCACTACAACTCCATTATTTCATATTTTAAAAACATAACAACAATAGTCACACCATATATGCTAAAGTAAACATATTTGATGTTTTATTTAGCAGTATATTTGATATTTAGCTAACTATCAATAATACACATTGATTGGTGTCGTATACTTTTAATATTTTTAATTGTTTTGTTTTTAATTTTCCTTAAACAAGATAAATAATACTGAGAGTTCACAGTACTATATGTTTTAATTTTGATTGATATTATTATTTGGAAAAATAATTAAAAATATTAATATATTATTTAAAACACCATAATTATTGAAATATAAATATCAATCAAAATTTATGTAAGAAACAAATTATTATTACTAAAACTAAGACCAATATATACTGAAAAATTCAAGAACTCAGAGCATTTCCAATCCATTGTTATTTTAATCTCTATAATTGCATTTGAAGGTAAAATTGCTTCAACCTACCTCTATTTCTTTCTCTATGCTAGAGATTTCTATTTTTCCTCTATTTATAAAGAAAAAATATCAATTTCTATTTTTACTCAATATTTAGAGATTGTTATTATAGAGGAATATATTAGAGAATATCTCAATCTATTATAGAGTTCATTTATTTTAGAGTGAAAATAATAAAATACATTAGAGATGGTCTAATGTGAAAAGATTTTCATTTTTATGTGTCTGCAAAAATTAAACATCAAATAAAACTCATGCAACGCACGGATCCATATCTAGTTTAGAGATAAACTAAAGTTTTAATTTATGAGATGATTAATGGACAATTTTTGAATTTGGAAAAAAAAATCTCCATCAACTAATGATATTGATCTAGATGAATTGTCATATTATCACAGTGAAAAATACTAAAATATCACCACAATAAAAAAATGAGGTAAAACGCAAGTATATATGTAACTGGACAGTGATGAAAAAGTTTACCTACTAATGATCATAGAGTACAATGGTAATTTTTGATCACGGTACAAAAATATTTCTGGCTCTGCCACTGATTCACAGATATTTATCCTTTTGAAGACAGCTAATGGTGATTGTGACTAGGGAGCAAACATAATCAGATGGGAGACTCTCCAAAGTGGCATTCTCGACTACCTTTGTGGAATAGTACTGACACGTCCTCTTGCACTCTTCTTTGTACGGACAGCACATTTGCACATGTTTCAAGCAGGATCGGTCCTGAGATTTTAGGGGTCTGTGACAATTTTTATTTTAAAAAATAAATTTGGGGTTCTAAATTTTTTTTTGGGATCATTCATGTAATTTTCTTCAAACTTTTTAGAGGTCTAAATCGAATGTTTCACTAGACATGTCCCATGGCCGGTCCTAGTCTCAAGCAAGTGTGACATTATCACTCGACGATAATCTATGCTACTCTGTCCAAACATAATCCACAAGACCTAGTGATGAAGTTTAAATTCAAAGTTAATAGGAATGACTGCGCGGAATCATAAGACAAATAGATCATCGGTGTTTAAATAAACTTAAACAAGATCAACATAAGATGCATCATCTTTGTTGTGTCCATGCTATGAGGCATATTTCTCCCTTCTTCACTACCGCACCTGAAAGTGTTTTGTTCGTGCAACACATTAAGACATGTCTTAAAAGTGTCGAAAATAGAGTGGAAGTAAAGCAGAGGATATAAGCCTATGAGTACGTACTTGGTTTCAAATGGATATTGTGGGTATTTTGGTCTTAGCATCTCAATGATCTCTGACCAATGAGCCACTGAACTCGATGAACATATGATTCTTCCTGATGCTTTAGGGTCTTCCATCGCTAACATTTGTGCAGCGGCTACATCATCTATGTGCACAAACCCTCCTCGGAAATTTGGGTATTCTCCACGAACACCTAACCAAACAAGAAACTAAAGTTGAGGCACATTTCTGAAATGTAATTGTCAAAATGAAAAATTCTCCGTAACCTTTGCTTATGGACAGAAAAATTGAAGGGGAGCTTGTGGGTTTTGGACTAAGTATTGGACCGATGCAAAATGTGGGGATTACGACCACTAGGTTTAGATTCTTTTCGGCTGCAATTATCCAAGCTTCTTTCTCCGCTAGAGTCTTTGCATAACCATACCAAATCTACATACATTTTAAAACATTCATTAATCAAAACAATGAATGAGTCTGGTTAAAGTTGATACAAGAGTAGGAATGTTTATCACTTTGAAGCTTCTACAGTAGTCGAGATCGCTCCAGTGTGACTCGTTAAGTGGAGACGCTTTTGTGGCATCATAAGAGTACCGGACCGAGGTTGAAGAAGAAGTGAGAACAATCCTTTTCACAGTGTTTCTTGATTTTTCACAAGAGCTCATCAAATTTCTTGTTCCATATATATCGCGATTTACCACATCTTCCTGAGGGAAAACAAACATATTAATAACATCAGTGAGGGAGAAAAATGATGTCTTGCGGACTTAGGCTGACAAAGTCTTAATATGAACCCGTGAAACCTAACCCTAAAATCCTTGCTTCCCAAGTTCTTTTTAATGTTTCAACTACTCTGATTGATGTGAAAGTAAAAATAATGAGACTTTGTCTAACCAGATCATTGTCTTCTAGAGAGACAGAAACCCGAGAGGCGATGTGGAAGACTCCGTCAACACCTTTGACTGCCTCGTCAAAGCTTCCCTCCACCGTTAGATCGGCTTCGAAAATCTTCAATCTTTCTTTTGCTCCTTGCAACTCCCACAAAAACCTAACCTTCTCTTCGTCTTTACAAACATTTGAAAACAAAAACCGTCGCAGCATTTCTTTAGGACTTCATCTCTGTATATTCCTAACATTTCGTTTTAATGATATTAACGTTCTTTTTTTTTTTTTTTTTTTGAACTGATGATATTAACATTCTTACCAAACCAAAATGAGGAATCTAAAAGTACCTGAGGAGTCTCTAACAATTGTTCTTACGAAATGGTCCAAGTCGAGAAGTGCCTTTACAACATGTGAGGCTATAAAGCTTGTCCCTCCAGTTACCAAGTACTCTGCCATTTGTATTCTAATTTGTCTCTTTTCTTCTGATTGTTGGTGTAATGAGAAACTAGATTAGGGGATTCACAATCGGGTTAAGTTTAGGTTCTGATTGACTTTTTGAATACTAATCGTTCAAGTCAAATTTAATATAGTATATACTGGACTAGTGGGGGATTTTTTTATCAAACGATAGGTTGGAATTCTTTTTAATAATTTCTATTTCAATATAAAGTTATATATGGCCTGAGTTTTAATGTAGGTTATATACTTAAATTATGGGGTTTAAACGATTTAATTAAAATTTATGAAAAGGTAAAATTTGTGGATTAGATTAAAATTATTTCGATTATGTATTACATTGCAGAATTTATATTTTTATCGGGTTAGTCGATTATAGAAAGTCACATATATATATATAAGTAAAACTGTTAACTAAAATTATTTTTTCTATATACTAACAGAATAAAGTAAACACTTTTTGTTTGAATCACATTTCTGACAAGTCAAGTGTCGTCAACCATATTTAATTCATCGAACGTCAATAGTTTTTATTAGATTAGATATTAATAATTCTGCCGACCAACTATCTTTATGTTTAATATTTAGGAGATTAAACATTTAATGAAAATTTACAAGCATATAAGGTTAGTGGCTTAGTGCCTTGATAAGCCCATACATCCGAACATATCATAGAGAAGTTGTCGCCAGCCCATGCTCTGGGTGATTACCACAAACATCAAATTCTTTTTGTAATATGACCTCACAATCTTTCTGACAAATATCTAAATGAAATGAAACCCATTAAAATCGCACGCCAAATGTTCCCAACTTATAAATCTTTAATCATTTATTCTGGAAATTTAACAATTTATCATTCACACAAATGAAATAAATATTATTGCTCGACAAATTTTTCCAAAATATTTACAGAAAACTAGTAGTCTAAATTTGATCTCTGCAAATAAATGTATAATAAGTAATTATTTTTAAGAAAGTATGTGTAGAGTTTTGGGAGATTTTGAAATAACAATTGTCAACATCCCAACCGAAACGAACGTCGAGTCTGGAGATAAACGTATGTAAATGATTAATATACTGTAATAAATACTAAGCTATCATATAGTTGAGAGTTGCAACTAATTCCTTTATTAATCTCAAATTCGGTATAGACTTCTTTTTTTAATAATGTGATGTGTGTACTAATTTATTTATTGTTAAAGGGAAGTTATGGTTAGCCGCTGGTTGGTTCGACACCCCATAAATTTAGTTTTGTATTATTGTACTGATTATCCGTATAAAGGAGGACCATTGTTTTTGTTCTACACGTGTGCTGTGTAAGGTATGTTTAGTCACTCCACAATAAGTATATAATCGATACTAGTATCTTTAATTATGTTCGAGTTTTATGACTTGACTACTTTAACTTCGACTTTAAACCAAATTAAACTTTAAAACAAAAACAAAACGACCCTCGTTTCAGAAAACAACCTAACACAAATTCACTGTTGTTGCGTTCCCACTTGCGAATTTCCAGCAATGTTATGGGGCGGTTTTGGAGATTGCAATAACTAAAAGACGTGAATACAATCAGAACATTAACTCACTCTCCCCACAGAAAAAGCGATACGTACTTCCATCTTCTACTACAAAACTTGGTATTACATAATATCGAGGTTTATTGAATAGACATTAATGAGTGTCTTACAAATTACAAGTCTGAACGAGCCATGTGACAGAATTCATCTGAACAAATGCTCCAAGTGACAAGTTTTTATTTGCTTTTCAAGTATATGGAAGGTTATCTTTTTCGTAATTAGGATGGAAATTTAAGCATTACTTGGTAATTGGTTATGCTCGTCTTTGTAGTACTGGAAGTAAGGAACTAAAACCAAACAATCTATGCAAGAGATTTTCCGATTTCCCAAACGACTACTTATTGCAAAGCTTAAACTAAACTTTTACATTCTAGCTTTTCAGGTGATGATCACTTGTATATTTTATCATTCCACATGCAGCAAACTATAACCATATATAACCCAATTCAATTCATTACGTTTGGGTATGGTAAAATTATTACTTCAAAATTTGGTTTGTGTTAGCTTAATTCCAGATAACAAGGAATCATAATAAAAGTAATTATATTAAAAGAAAATATATGTATATGTATATTGATATATGGATATTATATATATATTATTATCTATGAGGTGATTTTTTTACATTTGAATTGTCACATTCTCACGTTAAAAGTTAGAGTGGTTAAATTATATATTAGTCTTAATGAATAGTTAAGTTTATTTTTATATATAAACTTTATATAATTGACCATACATTTATATATGGTAAAAAATTATCCAAAAAGAAAAAAAGATGTTTTGAAAAGAAAATAGTTCTATTGTATTACTATCCAAAACTAATATTTTATTTTGGTATGATAATCTCCTAATATATTTATCACATAAAGCGAGAAAAAATCTAAATAATACAAATGTTTAGTGGTTACAAGAATTATATTATTATTATATTATTATTATTATCATAGATTATAAAATAGAATATAAAATAATAGTTGGATATTTTTCACATTTACTAATATGTATTTAGAAATTTAAATATGTATTGTTAGAATTAGTAAAATAATTGATAAAATGTGTAGCTTGAGCCTATGCATTAACTCAGTAGTGCTATATCACCCATTTCGTAGCTTTGGTCAAAATTTATAAAATTTGACATAAATTTTGATTGCATTTTCAAACCATATATATATATATATATATATATATATATTCAATTATTCATTTTAAAATTCACTTACATTATAGAAAATAGAAAAACTGCAGCGACATTTATTTACTAATGTTTTTATGGTCTACCAGTAAAAATCCAAAATATAACAAAAAAATATATATATATAACTTTTGCAGGTCTGATGTAACTGAAAAGTGAAAATTAAGAGTATGATTAATCTGGATTTTTAGGGTGGAGTTCTTATAAGAAGTTAAGAAACTGTTTATTAATTTTCGCTAAGAATCCAATCCTAAAAACCTCGGATTAATCATTGTCTAATATCACATACTCTCAGGTACCAATTTTCCTGCGCCGTGTAACTTTTGAACTTGTTTTTTTTTTGGTAACTTTTGAACTGTTATTACCAAAGTCATTGACATCCATCAAAAGGAACATAACTGACGCATCTCGTATCTATTCTCTTTTTGCATATTCTTTTAGAATAATTCTAAGAAGATTCCAAACTGATGAGCTGAAGTAGGGTAAAAAGTATTAACTCCTTAATCATTTGCTTCATAAATGACGTTTCTCTGGCTACAACTGGAAATCAAGAAGAAAAACGAAATATATTTGGTAAATGAGTGAAACAAAAACAAAAATTAAAATAAATAGAAATGAGTAGCCAGAGAGAAAGAGCGTTGAGTGATGTGAAGCTTGAGCCTATGCATTAACTCATCTCAACGCTCTGTTTCTCCTTTATATCTCAAACCTTTCCTTCTTTCCTTTTGTCACCTCCAAATCTCATAGGCATTATTAACCCTTTACCATGTCGCCTCCCAAAATGGCCGATGTCTCGAGCTCCGTGAAGCACAAATATGTCAAACTTGGTTACCAATACCTAGTCAACAACTTCCTCACTCTTCTTCTGATTCCAATCTTAGCATACGTCGCCCTTGAGCTTCACCGAATGGGTCCTGAAGAGATCCTCAACCACTTGAACTCACTCAACTTCAATCCCCTTCACATCCTATGTTCCTCTTTCCTCATAGTATTCGTTTCAATCGTTTACTTCATGTCCAAGCCACGCACCGTCTACCTTGTTGACTACTCTTGCTTCAAACCTCCAGTCACTTGCCGTGTCCCGTTCGCTACGTTCATGGAACATTCTCGTCTCAACCTCATAGACAGTCCAAAGAGCGTTGAGTTCCAAATGAGGATCCTCGAACGATCTGGCCTCGGAGAAGAAACTTGTCTCCCTCCAGCTATTCACTACATCCCTCCAACTCCAACAATGGATACCGCTAGAAGTGAAGCAGAATTGGTTATCTTCACTGCCATGGACGATCTCTTCAAGAAAACGGGTCTTAAACCTAAAGACATCGACATACTCATTGTTAACTGCTCTCTTTTCTCACCAACGCCTTCTCTCTCGGCCATGATAATCAACAAGTACAAGCTCAGGAGTAACATTAAAAGCCTTAACCTCTCCGGGATGGGATGCAGCGCTAGTCTTATCTCTGTTGATGTAGCACGTGACTTGTTACAAGTTCATCCTAACTCCAACGCGGTGATAGTTAGTACTGAGATTATTACTCCTAATTACTACCAGGGTAAAGAGAGAGCTATGTTGCTCCCTAACTGCCTCTTCCGCATGGGAGCAGCGGCTATTCTCCTCTCTAACCGCAGATCAGACAGGTGGAGAGCTAAGTATAAGCTTTGCCACCTTGTCAGGACCCACCGGGGTGCGGAAGACAAGTCTTACTATTGCGTGTACCAACAAGAAGACGATGAAGGCCATGTCGGAATCAACTTGAATAAAGATCTCATGGCCATCGCTGGAGAAGCCTTGAAGGCTAACATCACCACCATAGGTAACTTACAATCCTTATTACAGCATGCTTTGGTTACCTGATTTTCTTTTTCTTCCTAACTATATTCGATTACATGATTTTCTTTTTATTCCTCACTATTTATATACTTTATCCTTTTCATAATATATATGATGTTTTATTATATTTTTATTATTTCAAATGTATATATTTTAATATTTATTAAAAACTTTTAACCAATTATATTTAACAAAATTTTGATAAATGGTGGAATAATTTTAATTTATGTTTTAATGGTGATTTCTGAAAAAGTGAAATTTGTAATCTTTATGTTTTACCAGTAACACTAACACCATACATTATAAACCGATGGAGTATATCTTAGCTGGATCGGGCCAGCACGTGTATTACGTAATGCCTTTAATTCACATTTTTAAAAGTAAATATTCACTTTTTCACAAG